TGATACAACATGATAAAATATGAGCATAATGATTATAATATGACAAAATATTGCCCTTTCCCTTCAAATCCTTCCAATTTTGGAGGGGAGGTTGAGGAGGGGAGGGGAGGGGAAATTTTAAAAATTTTCCCTCCCCTCCTAAAATTTGTGTGTTGCCAAACAAGGGAAAATGATTAAAACCCCTCCCCTCCCTCCCAAACCCCTCATACCAAACACACCCTAAGTGAAGCATGGAAGAAACTGAACAAAGAGTTTTTCTTTGAGTATTCATTTCCTGAACCTCGCAAGGATGGTGCCTTTGATGTATGGTTATGAAAACAAGATGATCGGTTAATGAACCAATCAAGACACTTGTTCATAGTTTACTAGCCAGATCGTGGTTAAACCATGATCAATATGTAAAATTGTCTAAATAAAGAAACTATGGTTAATATATTTTTAAACACTTGTATGGGCATTCTTAGAGTTAAAGAAGTGAAAATTATTTATATTAAGTAATATTATATAAATTGTTTTGTTCAGATGTTTATAATATGTGGACAAATGAACTTATTTTAAGAGGCATTTTATTATAATAAAAATGTTATTATTGTAGTGTATTTCGGCCATGTTGAGGTGGCTATGTGATTGGTCATAGAGAGTCGCCGTACGTTCAGGTTTAAAGCATAAAATGCTTCCTTTAAAAACACTGAATCAAGAAAGAAACAGAACATAGGTGATAGTTGATTTACTCTTTCTATCAATATAATTATTAAGTTAGGTTGGCATGAATGGTAGGAACACTCGTCAACTAAGTAGTGGAAGTTTGAATCCCAACTCATGTCTGTAACAATTTAATTGAGAGGGGTCCATGTTGTCCCACATTCGTTCTAACTACCCAAGTGTTAGTTGCGAAGGGTCTACCCTTTATCCTTCCTACTGTGTCATAGTTAAAGCGTACGTCTTTAATATAAAATAATTAATTTAAAAGGAAAATGATCACAAAATACCATATGGATTTCAAAAAGACAAATAAAGCATCCAAATAAGCAAAATAACAAAGAAGGCATCAAGTACCAATCTGGAATTTTGATTTTTGGTCTAAAGACCGAAATGCCCTTATTATTACAAAACACGTAGGTGGGATTTACAACTTTCATAGTAATATTGACTACTTCGTCAATGGGTTTTGTAACTTGTTTTGAGGAGCTGGGCAACTTTTCTATAAAAAATAATACAATTCCACGTTAAATTTTATGAAACACATAGTGGGATTTACAGCTTTTATAGTGAGAGTTACTACTTCGTCAACAAGTTTTGCAATATGTTTTAAGGGGTTGGGCAACTTTTCTATAAAAAATAATATAATTCCACGCCGAATTTTATAAAACACATAATGGGATTTACCACTTTCATAGTGAGATTTACTACTTTGTCAATGGGTTTTGCAACTTGTTTTAAGGGGTTAGGCAACTTTTCTATAAAAAAAAAAAACAATTCCACACTGAATTTTACAAAACATATAGTGGGATTTATAACTTTTATAGTGAAAGTTACTACTTTGTCAATGAGTTTTGCAACCTCTTTTGAGAGACTGGGTAACTTTTCTGTAAAAAACATAATAAGGGCATTTCTGTCTTTAGGCTAAAAATAAAAATTCCAGATTAGTACCTAATTCCTTCTTTGTCAGTTTACTTACTTGGATGCCTTATTTGTCTTTTTGAAATTCATATGATATTTTGTGGTCATTTTTCCCAATTTAAATATATTAAAAGTATTTATTAAATCAGTTATTTGTAACAAATATATATTAGCTTCTCTAAATGATCATTTTTAATGATATGTATTGGAAATATTTTCTAGTGAGAGCTCTTTGCAATTAATGGGAATATTTTGAGAAAAAATTATAAATTTGAAAAACACGAAGTAGATTAAGATTTTATATTTAAAATCAAATCTAACTCTCAACATTATATATATATATATATATATATAATGACCATAGGGAGTACATTTTTTGAGTCATATAAAAACTATAACCCCCCCCCCCCAAATTTAGACAACCTTAATTAGGGCTTATACTAGTATCAGTAAAAAGGCTTCACAAAATTAAACTTGGCAGTCCCTAAACTTTTGACCTATGTAGTTTGATATATGTGGGTCTATGTAGTTTGATATATAAGGAGCTCTCTCTCACTACAAAAAAACAGCTTATTAGCGACGGAATTTGCGATGGAAACAAATTCCGTCGCAAATTAGCGATGGAATTTGCGACGGAAATTCCGTCGCTAATTTTTTGGATGGATTAACGACAGAATTTCTGTCCGTCGCTAATCCGTATTTAGCAACGGAATTAGCGACGAAATATTTTTCTGTCAGACAATTCCGTCGCTAATCCATCAAAAAAAATTAGCGACGGAATCTTTTTTGTCAGACAATTCCGTCCCTAATCTATCAAAAAAATTAGCGACGGAAATTCCGTCACAAATTAGCAACGGAAATTCTGTCACAATTCCGTCAGAAATTAGCGACGGAATTTGTTTCCGTCGCAAATTTTAAGAAAATAAATTACATAGGATATATATACAAGTAGAAAAATACTGTTTATCATAATCTATTTAAATCATTTAATTTTTTATATAGAATAATTTATTAGATTTTATTATAGTAGTTATTTTTTGAATTTTTTGAATAACAAGATTTTTTGACTAATTGTAAATGATTTTCTTCAAATATATAAACCACATATACATAATATAATATAATGTAATATAATATATATAATTAAATTGTATATCTTATCAATGTTAATTAAAAATAAATTTAAAAAATATTTATGAAAAATTATTTATGATGTAAAATTCAAAATTAGTGTCATTAGAAATTAAAATTATATTAAAATATTTTTTAAAAAATAAAACATTATAAAAATAGTAAAACTAATATTTAAAAATTATTTTTTCATTAAAATAGTTATGATTAAAATTATCATATAGTATATTTTAGTTTTTAATATATATATATAATTGTTTGTCTAAAATAATATAATATATATTTAATTTTACATAATAAGTCAACAGGTTCATTGCAACTCAACTGGTAAAGCCGCACGTGCGCATGGAGGAGGTCCTGGGTTCAAGCCATGGAGAAGTCACTTTGAGAAGGGAATTATATGGTGGTGACACGTGATGCAAGTGTGGCAGGCGGAGGTGAGGTGGTAGCGACACGTGGAGGTGGTTCCAGTGATGACGTGGCAATTGATAGAGGTGCCACGTGGTATTTTATTTTATTTTTTAAAAAATCGAATTAGCGACGGAGAAATTCCGTTGGTAATTAACGATGGAACAATTCCATCGGTAATTAGCGACAGAAAAATTCCGTCGCTAATTCCGTCACTAATTAGCGACAAAGGAATTAGCAACGGAAAAAATTCCGTCGCTAATTCATTCCGTCGCTAAATTGAAAATTCCGTCGCTAAATTCCGTCGCTAAAATCATGTTTTTTTGTAGTGTCTCTTTCTTTTTTTTTTTAACCTTAAGGAGCTCTCTATGCCTGCATCCGTTTGTTCCCCAGTTTATCCTCAAAATTGGCCATCATTTCTAAAATTATCCTCTGGCCTACTTACCTTATCTACTCAATGTATACATATATAAGTTGTGACAATATTACTAATTGATTATTAGTTTAGGTTGATAAACTTTTTCTTATTCAAATGAATAAGTAGTTGGCAAAACATACGATAGGTTTAAATATGATGCCACATGTTTTGATGAAAAAAAGAGTAAGGGTACGAATTGCTCCACATTTTTAAACTCTGGGGATAGAAACCGAGGAAGAAGTTCGAGAAATATGAAAGAATAACCTTTTTTATAAAATGCAATAATACCTTATTTAATCAATCAAGTTTCGGAGAAATGCTTATATATTTTCTGAGTCACATCATCTGAACAACCCCTATATAATGAAAATACAACAATTCAAGTGATTTTAATCCTAGTTAGCTGTCAGGCCAAAAAAACAAAATCCTAGTTAGCTGATGACTCATCTTAAACAATTCACATTTTATATTTTGTGTTTTAAGAAAAATAAACTTTTTTATTTTGGGGGAAAAAACAAAAATCTAGCTAACTAGGATTAGCGTAGTTATCGCGCTCCAAATATAATCCCGCGATGATTGAATTAGGGTCTTCTCATAATTCTCTTTCTCCTTTTCTTGTCATAGCCCCTTCTCACCTCTAGATTAAAAATATAGATAGTTTAGATGTAATATTTTATAAAAAAAATATTATTAAAATATTTTATAAATTAATTTTTTTTATACCACATTATAAACAAGAAAAAATCGAGAGAAAAAAAGACGGTGGAAATTGCATATTTGCGAATTAGGTATTTTATCAAAGCTCTGTTGTCATTTTGCAATGAAATATGTTGTCAAAACCTATGAAATTCTTGTAACGGGTCCCAGTTTGAGATTTTGCAATTTTTATGATCTTTTTTTTTTTTTCAGGTTTTTCCTATGAACTAGCCAGATTAATTTTTTCTTACATTAAATTTATTCATTTATATTTTAATAATATCATAATAATATTTTTGTAGGATATTACATCTAAACTATCCATATTTTGATCTAATTATTAAGGGTGGACAAGGAATTTTGAAAAGAAAATAAAGGAGACTATGAGAGAATCTGATGGAATATAATTCCCGAAAATTACGGCAAGAAGAAATCTTCAGCCATTAAATATATTGATTGCATTCAGACCCCAAAAAATATATATATTGATTGCATGGAACATCAATTAATTTATCTTTTAATTACCATTCCTTGGGGACTAGGAATATGAATTGGAGATCAATTAATTTATCTTTTAATTACCATTCCTTGGGGACTAAGAATATGAATTGGAGCCTTGGGGCCAAAGAAAAGTCGAGACTTTAAATATGTGTCCATTAGTTCAAAGGTTTCATCACTTTGTTTCGCTCACTTCTTATTAGTCCCACCGCTTCACAGTGTCAGTGACATGGCGATTCTTCTAGGTCCTCCCGAAATCTATGACTCCGCCCACAGCCACAATGCCCCATCGCCACCATCATCATCCACCGTTAATGTCACTTCCAGCGATCCTTTCATGGATCAAGTGGTGGCTGATTTTAACAGAATCCAAACACGGTCTCATCAAAACATGGGCTTGACAGAGAATAATTCTCCCACCTTCATCTCCTCCGGCGATCCATGTCTTGATTTCTTCTTTCATATTGTTCCTGATACTCCCTCTTCTTCTCTGATACAGAGGCTCCAATTGGCTTGGTCACATAACCCCTTAACCACCCTCAAGCTTGTTTGTAATCTCCGAGGAGTCCGAGGAACAGGAAAGTCCGACAAGGAAGGGTTTTATACTGCCGCCTTATGGCTTTACACCAATCATCCCAAAACCCTAGCAATCAACGTCCCTTGTTTTGCTGAGTTCGGCTTCTTCAAGGACTTGCCTGAGATTCTCTATAGGATCTTGGAAGGACTCGATGTGCGAAAGCTTCAAAAAGGCGAATGGCATCAAAGAAAACAAAGCATCATAAATTATTTTCACAAGAAACATCGAAGCAGAAAGGACAAGAAAGCATTGTTCACAAAATCTTCGATTCCAACAAGGCAAGAGAAGAGAATAGCCATGGCTAAGAAAGTCATACAAAGGTATCAAGATGATGCTAACTTTCGCTTACTATACGATCACATCTCAGATCATTTTGCTGAACGTTTGAAGGAAGACTTGGAGCTCCTCAAATGTGGGGAAATAAGAAACATTAGTCTTGCTGCCAAATGGTGTCCATCCATTGGTTCTTCCTTTGACCGTTCTGCACTACTTTGTGAAAGCATTGCAAGGAGGATTTTCCCTAGAGAATCCTATCAAGGGATCGAGGAAGCCCATTATGCTTATAGGATTCGGGATCGTCTAAGAAAGGAAATTTTGGTGCCATTAAGGAAAGTGTTGGAATTGCCAGAAGTATACATTGGTGCAAATCAGTGGGGCTTAATACCATACAATAGGGTGCCCTCGGTGGCCATGAAATTCTACAAACAGAAATTTTTGAAGCACGACAAAGAAAGATTTGGCAAGTACCTGGCAGATGTCAAATCAGGCAAGTCCACTATAGCATCCGGTGCTTTGCTTCCTCATGAGATCATAGCATCGTTAATTTATGAATGTGGATATGGATATGAATTTGATGAGATTTATGAATGTGGATATGGATATGAATTTGATGAGGAACAAGTAAATAAGGAACAAGTAACAGAGCTTCAGTGGAAGAGAATGGTCGATGACTTACTAAAGAAAGGTAAACTAAGGAGCAGTTTGGCCATTTGTGATGTCTCAGGAAGCATGAGGGGAACACCGATCATGGTATCTGTGGCAATGGGGTTATTGGTATCTGAAACGAGTGAAAAGCCATGGAAGGGGAAGGTAATCACATTTAGTGAGAAACCAAAATTACATGTGATAAAAGGGAAGAATCTGAGGTCCAAGGTAGAGTTCGTGAAAAGAATGGAATGGGGAATGAACACTAATTTTCAGAAGGTGTTCGACGTAATCCTAAAGGTGGCAGTGAATGGGAATCTCAAGGAAGACCAAATGATTAAGAGGGTATTTGTTTTTAGTGACATGGAATTTGATCAGGCATCGTTGAATCCTTGGGAGACAGATTATGAAGCAATCAAAAGAAAGTACAGAGAAAAGGGGTATGGATCTGCAGTGCCACAGATAGTTTTTTGGAACCTGAGAGATTCTATGGCAACCCCAGTGGCTAGCAATCAAGATGGTGTAGCATTAGTAAGTGGGTTTTCTAAGAATCTGCTAAAAATGTTCTTAGATAATGATGGGGCCATGAACCCTCAACATGTCATGGAAGCTGCGATTTCTGGCAAAGAATATGATAAATTACTTGTGTTGGATTAACTCAATTCAGTGAAATAGAACGTTTTTATCTGATTGAGGTGTCTGTAGTTTTTCTATTTGCAGTACGTAGGATACTTTTCATTACTTCAAATGAATTTCTGGTACAATTACCTGGAATAATAAAGAAACTTATTTTTCTTCCATGTATAAGAAAAGTTCATTTGGGATTTATTTTATTTAAATTAGGAATGAGTAACCTGATTTCAAGAAAATATATATAAATATAGTTAGAGATTCTTACAGCATCAATTTTGCAGATAGTTACGCTGATTACCTATAATTGTGGCGTCAATTGTAGAATTGATTCTTTCATAAGTAATACTAATTCTAAATTCGAAGTTAATTAATAGTGGATAAGAGAAAAGTTTGAGGTTGAAAAATCGTAACTAATTAACAGCTTATATTTTTTGTTTTTTGTTTATCTATGCACAGCTAAGCTTATAATCGAATCATCTAAATTGTTACCTGGAATTAATATATTTATATATAATGAACATTATTAATATCTACGATCTAAATATTTAAGTGAACTAGGAGTTATTTTTTGTATTTGATTAACCAGAAAAAATATGTTAAATATATGAGGGTGATCTTTACAGCCAATTATTGTGCGCGCGCGCGCGCGTATCCAACTAGATCTCATATATTGATTAACTCATAAAAACCTTGTAAATCTGCATATCTCCCAAAAGTCCTAAATCCACCATTAGCCATTATATAGTAAAATCACATTTGAAGCAGAATATGTAATTTTAAATTCAAATAAAATTAAGTAAAAAAATTTAATTAATGAAAATGATGTTATAATTATAAGCCAGTACTTTTTCAATTAAAAATTTAATGACTATTTTTATCTGTGAAGTAAAAAACGTCCCTAAAATAGGTGAAACTATTAATTAAAATTACTTAAAAATAATATTATTTCCAAAATTGATTTCAAAAAATAACAACTTAAATTCAGCTTCACATTAAAAAAATTAAAATAAATTAATAAAAACAATGAAACAAAAATATACCTTATTATGAATGAATGCACGAATGTGGAGATCAATTAATTTATAATATGATCAAAATATATTAGGGAAAATGACAATAAAATACCACCTGAATTCCAAAAAGACAAATAAGGGACCTGAATAAGCAAAATGACATATAGGGGACTGGGTACCAATCTGGAATTCAGATTTTTGGACAAAAGACTAAAATGCCCTGTCTGAAAGTGAGAGGAAGGAGAGAGGAAGACACTGATGAAATACGGGAAGGAGAGAGGAGGAAGACGCTGATAAAATCGGGAAGAAGAGAGGAAGGAGAGAGGAAGACGCTGATTTTCGATGGGTTCCCACAGCTTAAAATTTGGTTCTGTCTCTGTTCTTCGCATAAAACCATTTTCAGAGAATGTGAAGCTGTGGGAAAGATGAACCTGTGGGAAAGATGAAGCGAAAATCAGAAAACAAAGGCAAGTAATTACGTAACGTAATTGCTGTCATATGCCTGCTGGTTTTTGGTAAATCTCATTACGTGAATGGTAAATTTCACTATACATGTAGTTAATTATGAATTTTACAAAATATATATTGTGATTTACAACTTTCGTAGTGAAAATGATCACTTCTTCAATGGGTTTTGCAACATGTTTTCAAGGGATTGGCAACTTGTTTTTAAAAACCAATAAAATTCTATGCTGAATTTTACAAAACATAGAGTAATATTTACAACTTTTGTAGTGAAAATGACCACTTCTTAAATGAATTTTGCAACTTCTTTTCAGGGGATGAACAACTTGTTTCTAAAAATCAATAAAATTTCACGCTGAATTTGACAAAACACATAGTGAGATTTACAACTTTCATAATGAAAATGATCACTTCTTCAATGGGTTTTGCAACATGTTTTCACGGGATTGGCAACTTGTTTATAAAAACCAATAAAATTATATGCTGAATTTTACAAAACATGTAGTGAGATTTACAACTTTATTAGTGAAAATGATCACTTCTTAAATGGGTTTTGCAACCTCTTTTCAGGGGATGAGCAACTTGTTTCTAAAAACCAATAAAATTTCACACTGAATTTTACAAAACACACAGTGAGATTTACAACTTTTATAGTGAAAATGACCACTTCTTAAATGGCTTTTGTAACCTGTTTTCAGGGGATAGGTAACTTGTTTCTAAAAACCAATAAAATTTCACGTTGAATTTTATAAAACATATGCTGGGATTTACAACTTTTGTGATAAAAGTGACCGCTTTGTTAATAGATTTTGCAACATATTTTCGGGGGATGAGTAACTTACTTTTCACCACCAATAAAATTTCACGCTGAATTTTACAAAACACATAATGGGATTTACAACTTTTATAGTGAAAGTGACCACTTCTTCAATGGGTTTTGTAAACCTGTTTTCACCGGAAGAGCAACTTGTAAGCATAAATAAATCATTCAGTGAACGTGCACCTGAAGTACATCACAATAAACATTGAACTATTAAGTTTCATAATTAACTACATGTATATTAAAATTTACCATTCACGGAATGGGATTTACCATTCACGGAATGGGATTTACCAAAAACCAGCAAACATATGACAGCAATTACATTACGTAATTGCTTGCGACTATTTTCTGATTTCTGCTTCATCATTCACCGAATACTGAATATGAACCCTCAAGTGCAATAATCCTGTTCCTATTTCACTATGAAACAGCCACAAAAATGAATAATCCAAATCCCGCCATCAACTTCTACTCACTCATGAATAATTCAAATACTTCAGCGACCTCTTCGACGACGACAATTTCAGGGGTACAAGTTATTTCCGACAGGGCAATGTATTTCAGCGATGGTAACCAAATTCAGCGATGGCAATCTACTCCTACGACAACGGCAACGTGATTTCGAAAAATCCTTTTTGGTGACTGCAGAAACTTGGATTTAGTTTCGTAGAAGGAAATCAGTTTCTCCCTTTCTCTATCGCATGAATACACTGCTCAATATTCAGAGACAATCAGGGCAATTCGGTCTTTTGGCCGAAAATCTATATTCCAAATTGGTACCCAGTGCCCTATTTGTCATTTTGCTTATTCAGGTCCCTTATTTGTCTTTTTGGAATTCAGGTGGTATTTTATTGTCATTTTCCCAATATATTATGTATTATCCAATGGTATATCAATGAAGCTTATTTGAAAGAAATGCTCTTTTTTTTTTTTTTTTTTTCCTTTTTTAGATTTTCAAGCTTAGACTGACACAGTTGAAAATGGAAAGGGAAAGCAAAATAAAAGAAAAACAACAGCTAAGCCCTGAATCTATAATTAGTCTCTATTTGTATTTTAAGAAAAAATATGAAAATTATTCTCTATTGATGTAGTATGTGGTATTATCCGAAAAACTTTTTACCAAATATCACGGGTTGCAAATTATCCTATCCGATCGTTTCAATTTGCAATTAACATAATCATATCAGCGTATCATTTCAAAAAGATATTACACGATGACTTTTTTGATAGTAAAATTGACTAAAAATGGATTCAGAAAATATAAAACAAGAAAAAGATCAATGTATTATCATTTCAATGTTGTGAGGTTTTTTGGCCTAATATTGTGAGATTTTTATTTTTCATTGACCGGAATATTGAAAGTTTTAATTTGTCTTTAGAGTATAATAATCAATTAATTCATGAATTCCGAATTTTGAAATTAGTCACAATGAACCAATCGGGATAAAGGATATTGTTTCGCGCACTGTTGAATTGAAGACCCTTTGTCGAAGTTCTTTTCAATGAAAAAAAAAAATCATTTTTTCTAAAAAGAAATACTTATTAAAAAATTGGAAAAATTTGTTGAAAAGACGCTTTAATAACTCAAATCCTTATTTGAATCATTAAATTTGTTAAATCCTAATTAGGTCACATGACCCAAAAAGGAATTTTAAAATTTTATGAAATAAATCTAATGCCCCTTTCATTATAAACCTAGAGAGGCGAGAAATTTTTACCATTCCTGTGTTGCTTAAAAACTCTGAATGAGAGAAACTTGACATTTACCATTGCAAAGTCAAAAAATCGATTAAGTAAGTAACGCTGAGTTAGTTTTTACATTAAATCTTCCTCCATTATTACAAATGTGTTAAGTATAAAATGAAACATGTTAATTTTTAAGGTTGTATTGTGATCAAGTTTTATTCAAAGACTCATTACAAGTGTGTTATGGAGATATAATTGAAACATATTAATTTTTAAAGTTATATTGTGATCAAGTTTTTACTGAAAGCATCCTATAGGGACAAAAAGTTGTCAATTTATAATTAAATGGTGTTAACTGTAAATTGAAACATGTTAGCTTTCAAAGTTATATTAAAATAACATTTTTAAAAGTGTGTTATAAAGATAGAAAGTTGTTAATAGAATTGAAACGTGTCAACAGTAAAATGGAACATGTTAATCTTTTAAGATTATATTGTGATCAAGTTTTATTCAGAGACTTGTTGCAAATGTATTATGGAAGCATAAAACTAATAATTTAGAACTGAAACTTTTTAATTGCCTAATTGACATTCTTAATTTTTAAAGTTATATTATAATAAAATTTTATTAAAGACTTCCTGTAAGTATATTATAAGATAAAAAGTTGTTAATTTAGTATTGAAATGTGTTAATTGTAAAGTGAAATATTCTAATTTGGAATTCTCTTTTAGTTTTTAATGAAATAGGCACTAGAATCATTTCATAAAATTTTAAAATACCTCTTCAAGCCATGTTACTTGACTAGGGGTTTGACAAATTTAGCAATCTAAATAAAGATTTAGGTTATTTAATTGTCCTTTTTAAGTGATTTTTCCTAAAAAATTTTACAACATTTGTTTGAACTTTTAAAAATATTTAGAATATAAAAAAGTACATTTTTAAGAAAATTAATATTTTGGTCCTTTAAGTTTTGACTCAAATATGATTCAATCTTTTAACCATGACTTCGTGTGACTCAATTCCTAAATTTTTAATTC